TCAAAAACTGTGTAGAAATGGCACTTGGGGACGTGGTTTAGCAGGCATGGTGGTGTCGGGTTGGCGGTTGGACTCGATGATCTTAGAGGTCTTCTCCAGCCTTCATGATGCCGCGCTTTGACAAACGCAGTGCCAGAAGCTGAAGGGCAGCGTTGATGTCTGGTAATGCAGGGCCGCCTCTGTGACTTGCCGCCGGTGCAGGCTTTAGGGAGGAGTTTGAAACCGTGCTCTGGGGGCTGTTTGAAGGAGCAGAAGTTCTCAGCTGCTGAGCAGTGCTCCAGAGAAGTACATCTCACAAAGAGAAGTTCTGGACTCGGTCTGCTGTCTGTGCCAAAGCCCATGACTGTTCCTGTGAACGTGCCCTGTCCCACCTAGGTGCCGGCAGCGGCGTTTCCAGCAGGAGGCCAGGTGACCCGGGGGAAGGTGGGACCCGAAGCGAGGATGGTGGCGGTGTCTGTCTGCTGGTGCTGGGATGGCGTTAGAACGCCGCCTTTGGGGGATGTCAGAGGGGAAAAAATGTTTTCTGTCTGAAAATTATTACCCTATAAATGGTTACATTTGGGAAATACTCACTGTGGTGCAAAATCCAGGAGCAGAGTGACTGAAATCGTCGCAGCGAGGGGACGGCCAGGTCCGCAGTTCGGGAGGCTCGGTGGTGGTGCCGGGTCAGTCCCTGCGGCCGTGCTGGGAGGGAGGGAGCAGTGGTCGCGGCGTTAATGGGAGCGCAGGGGAGAGGCAGCGACAGGGGGAGGAGGGCGTGTGGGTGCACGCTTTCAATTAAATAAATAAAGGAGCCCAAGCAAAAAAGCCAGTAACAAAGTAGAACCGTTAGGCAGGGAGGGGAAAAGAGGGATCGATGTGTTAGAGCTCTGTATTGCCAAAATAAATCGGTGAAGGTGTTCCTGGAGTGACGAGGGTCTGTGAGCTCTGGGGGGGCAGACAGGTTCGGAACCGGTTTTAGTGCACCGTGATTGTGCAGGTGATTTACCAGCAAAGAGGCGATGGAATAATAGGTTAAAAAACCAAAAATTCTTTTGTGTGTGGATCGTAAGTCTGCCCGGAGTATGTGGTGCTAAGCATGCCGTGATCAGGCTACTTCGTGTTCCGGAGAGTCTCCTTTGAGTGGCTCCGTGTCTGAGGCTGCTGGGTGGGACAGTGCTCAGCTGTACAACGGACTGGTAGTTACAGTGGCAATGGAATGTGTATTTACTTTGTCAGTGTGAGCTGGGTCTGTCACACTTTATTTAATATATAAATAAAATGTCGAACTTTCGGTGTGTTCGGAGCGTTGAACAACGACATAAATCGTTACTGGGTGTGATCTTTGTGTTCATGCGAGTCCTCAGCGTTGCAGGGAGGACTTGCGTTTCTGACGTCTGAAAGCGATTTCGTGTTGACCCATCTTACCGTGTTGGTCCTGCGTTGTTGGTAACGGTCAGGTGTTGAAGTCTCCATTGGAAGGGGTGCTGGTCCTGGAGCTTCCCTCACACTGAGGCCTGCATTTGCTTAGATGCAATTCAAAAACTGTTTTTGTCTTGTAATTTAGTATATTACTTCCTCGTAGTTTGGGAGTAAAGTAGGTATAATGATATTTTGCTGCAAGCTAGCCTGAAAAAATATTCCCCATACATTGGGAACACTGCGTAGATAATCCTGGGACCTCCTAACTAGTCGGGGACGGTGTTTCACCGGTGCAGCGCGCTAACGGACACAAAGTTATTTCATAGCACTTTTTTGGTTCTTGGTGATGGTTGCTATTCTTGGTGGCTTCTAATTCTGGTTTTTTGTAATCACTCGTGCTCTTGGAAGCCCCAGCTCACAGCGTCTGGAGCACTTGTGCTTTAGGACAGGGGACCAGCTCTTGCTGCAATCAGACTTTGAAGGTGTTCAGGGTGGGTGGCACAGCGCGTTGTTATCCAGGTTCCTGTTAACTTGGAAAATGCTGCTCCAAATACCTGGAAAACATCGTGTGAATAGATGGGAGGGGTGAAAATACAGGACACGCTGCTCGGAGGGCGCGGGGCGGCTGGCGCTGGCGGAGCCGGGGAGCGTCGCCTCGCGTCGGCGTGCTTTCTGCTGGCCGGGGGCAGGATAAACGAGCGGTAGCCTTTCGGGAAGATGGGTCAGAAAGTGTCCGGGAAGCCGCTCGGGTGGGCGCGGAGCCGAGGATGGCGTGTGCGGGCTGAAGGGCGGGTGTGCGCGGGTCGAGCTACGCCGAGCTTGCTGGTTAGGTCTGGTTGGGGCACCCCCTGCCCCCACGTAGTCACCAGCAGCTACGAGTGACCTCAGCTTGTCTGAGATCGGTGGTGGCTGCTCTGCCCTAGCCCAGTAATGCCAGTTTTGAAAAGATGCCGTTAGGAACGCATGAAAACGTTCACTGAGACTTGTGAAAAAAAATTCTCAAACAATTTCTATCAAACACTACTTACATTTAACCCTATTTTTGTGGTTTATGGTGAAAAATATATTCAGATACTTGCCAACACCGTCTAATGATCCACACTGTCTAATGACAGACAGCAGGCAGCTTGCACCTCACGTCAGGACAGGCTGGCCGAGCTCTGGTGGCCAGTGGCAGGCAGGTACTGCGCGCGGGCAAAGCCTGCAGGCACGGGCTGTAGGTCCCCGAGACCCCGCGCTCGGGGGCGAATAAGCCTGACTTCTCCCCGTCTTTTCCCACGCAGGCAGAAGGAGAAGACAGCCTTAAAAAGATGCAGCTGATGGAGCTTGCGATTCTGAACGGCACCTACCGGGATGCCAACATCAAATCACGTAAGCACGGCGTACGCGCGGGGCCGGGCGGTGCCTGCGGGTTTGGGCTCGCGGCGGTAGCGGCGGTGCTGGGGAAGGGGAGGCCGTAGAACCCTGCGGGGCAGTAGGTTAAACAGTGTTTCTGGGTTGAAATATTTACAAATACGCAGTTGAAAAAAATTCACCCCTTAAGCCACATTTTTCTATTTTACAAGAATTTTTTCTTTAAAAGATATAAAGGACAGTGGACTCCTTTTCAGTTTTGTTTTTAGAGTTTTAATTTGAAAAGGTTACAGATGCTTAGGATCCTGTGAATATATTTTTCTGTATTATATTCCTTCCTTTCATCTCGCTTGCATGTGTCCCCCCAATGTTACGTTTTTCCAACAATTCGTCAACTGATTTCACAGCTGAGTTCACAGGGATCAGTGATGTAATGAGCCTTTTTTATGATTTCTTCCATTACATTTGTACGAGAAAGCTTTTGCAAATGCATGTATGCACAGGTTTACACTTGAAAATTAATTACCTACACCTACTAATGAGAGCATTTACCTATTGTGTGTGATACACATTATTTTCTCTAGTTGAAAAGCTAATTTCTCCTCCTGAAAGTGTAGTTGCTGATACTCTTCCAAAGTAAATTTTTGCTGTAGCTGTGATACAGATGTCAAGTGCAAGCACGGTTACATCAGTCTTTTCGCTAAGGGCTGCTGATATTTGCGGATTCGTTTCTGCACAGGGTCCCCATTTCAGCGCTGCAGGTGTTCAGGGCTGGGAAGCGGTTAGGTCCCCTGGCGAGGGCTTACCCCAGTGTCCCTCTGATCCCACACGAGGCGCAAGCACGGGCTGTCGCTGCCGTGGCACCGATACGTCTTCCAGCCCTAAGCAACACCGTAGGACTTAGAGCAGTGTTAAATACATTTTAGTCTCTGAATTCTTGTAAATTTATGAGTAAAATAGCCTTCAGATTAGCTGAAATTGGTGCAGACTGTTGCATAGAAACCTGCGTATTAGTTTGAGCAGTTTCTTTGTCAGATCTGTTGCCGTTGGCCCATTGTATCAGCATCAGTGGGAAGAAGGATTTTTTTTTCCAGTTTTTGACTAGAGATTTCCATCCTGATACTCACTTTTTGAGAACAAGACAATTTCACTGTTTGTGTTTCAGTTTTACTGAAAACCCAAAGATATGGAAACCATACCAGTTTATTTCTGTTTAAGAAAGGAAATGAAAATGTTTGAGGGGTTTTATTTAATTATACATTCAGTCCGAGCACTTTTGTTTGAAAAATAAAAATAATGTAAAAGCCACAAGTCTCAAGTCTGAAAAACTTCCCTCACATTTCTCTTTTCAGACCAGCTGTAAGTTAGTTAAATCGGTGTAGATCAACAGTGTATAAATGATAACCCGGGAAGACGGACTGTTGCCAGCTGCTGTGCTGGTGTTCAGGAAGTTGCTCAGCCTGTGTGCCAGCAGGCTGCAGAGAACACCCAGGGACACGTGCTAGCACCCTGTAAAAACAAAACGAAACAAACCCAAAACAGGCCCCTCTTGTCTCTAACCTAAACAAGGCCATAGTGAGCTGCTAATACGAGGAAAGTATTTTGTTGTGGGGAATCTGATCTGGAAATCACTTTTGAGTCCATTTTATTCCTGCTAGAGTAGGAGAGGAGATGCGTGGTGTTTCTAGGTCATCTTTAACTTCCCTGCTCCTGGAAGCTGGAATTGTGTGTGTGTTTAAATGCAATTTTAAGACTTGTACAAACGGTGGACTCGTGCGGCAGCTCTGCGTAGCTGAGTGTCTGTGGACTCTCTGGTCGCACTAAACGTTGTGCTCTGCGTTTGATTACGACAGTATTTGCCTTGCATCTCCTGCATGCATCTCAGTCTCATGCAGTCTCGAGAGCATCAATGAAGAAATGTGGTCTAAATGGAGCTTTTGTGCTGTGTAACCTGTTTGAGAAATCTACCTCACTGTTTTACAATGGCTTTTTATTTTGCATGTTCATACTTAATCACACTGGAAAATGGAAAGCTGTTTGCATTTGAATGGTGTGCTTTGGCACGGTGTGATCAGCGCATGTACTAATGATTTCCTTTTATTTTTCTTCTTTCCTACTTTTCCCCTTTTTTCCCATTCTTTCCACGTTTTGTACTGCTGTCTCCATACTTTCCTCTGAATTTCTTTGCTTACTGTAGCAGCCCTTGCCTTTTCTCTTGCAGCAACAGCCCAGGCTCCAAGGATTATCACTGGGCCTGCGCCTGTTCTCCCCCCAGCTGCCCTGCGTACTCCTACGCCAGCTGGCCCTACCATAATGCCTTTGATCAGACAAATACAAACCGCTGTCATGCCAAACGGAACTCCTCATCCCACCGCTGCAATAGTTCCACCTGGACCCGAAGCCGGCTTAATTTACACACCATACGAGTACCCCTACACGCTGGCACCAGCTACGTCAATCCTGGAGTACCCCATCGAGCCCAGCGGTGTGTTAGGTAAGAGCCGCGCGCGCGGGCGAAGGGGGAGCGCGGGGCGTGCACGGCGCGGGTCCTGGGGCTCAAAGCACAGACCCTGAGGCACCAGTCTTGCCCCCGGCGTAGCCGCTCACGCCTTCTGAACGTGTTCTGCGGTATTAAATGTGTGTGGTTAGTGCGTTAGTAAGATGACTGGAAATAAAATCTCAATGTTTATATGGCACTAGATCGTGGCTACGTAGGCAGGAAGAAAAAATAGATAGGAGTCGATGTCTGTTAGATGTCATTTGGGCTCCCGTAAATGCCAGATTTGTTTGTACTCTCTTTAACATAAATTAATCTCCAGCGATCTTCGGAAGAGAGAGCTTCCTATTTTGCTATACCTTTTTAGGAGCAAAGCTGGAGAGAATGGAGAGGCCTTTTTTCAGTTCGTTGCAGTTCTTGCTTCTTTATTTAGCACACGACTGATAAATCTCTCCTCAGTGTCAGAGAGCTGTGAGTCATTTTGTAAGCAGAAAATCATTTCAGTGAATGAATATAAAGCAAACTAAGTTCTGACCGAAGGGTAATACAATTAGCAACTTTACTGATGGCTTCTCTTATATACACTGGATTGAAATGTCCGTAATTCCTAATATTTCAGACCATGGACTTGCCGTGTGAAGGTGAGACTGATAAAGCAGCCGTGCCAGTTCAGTGAACTGGTCAATATGGGGCCAGCAGTTCATGTGGTTGCTTGCTTCCCTACCCTCCAGAATCTAAACAATCTTTTCTCTTCAGTTTGTTCTCAATTGCTGATGACCCTGGTGCTGCACGATGTTGATTTTATAGGACTTTGATCTTAGTTTGCTCAGTGGCAGTTATTGATTTACACAAATTCTAAATGTCTCTAATGAACACTGGACAATGAGGTTCAAAGTCAATGTTTTGTTGAAAGTATTGCCCAAAAATCAGTGTTTCACGTGACAAATTCTTGTTATCTGTATGTGTGTGTGATTCCCCACGTTACTTTTTTTTCGCTGTACAAAATGTATTCCAGACTCCAGCTTTTCAGGATTAGTGAATCAATAATCACCATTTGAGTAGGACAAAAGTATGCAGTAGGTCTGTCTTTGAGCAGCTTATGGTTGTTGTCCATTGCACCATAGACAGAATTCAGTGAGCGTATGATGATGTCATCATTTATTAATTTTCCTGCAAACATGTAAATAGTCTCCCCAGCTCCTCCAGCCCCAGTCTGCGAGTCCACTCGTGATACATCCTGGGGTAAAGTCGCAGTTACGGGCGTCCTTGCAGGAGCTCTGGGTTGCTGGTCGGTGGCAAACCCCTCTCCTCAGTGCAGGTAGCAGCAAGTAGAGAAACACATCATTCCATAGTCATAACGTAGTGTGATGCAGAATTTCCTAGAAAGAGCAAGGAGAGGAAAATTACTCCTAAAATGGCACCTGAAACCACTGCATACATTTGGGCTTAGCTGTGAGAGCACAGGTGCGTTGCCCAAAACAGATCTTGCCAAATAATCTGATTTAAAAAAGTGAAAGGGAGGGAGGAAAAAATAAAGAGACCACACTCCCCTGGAGACAGCGTAGAGTCGGTGACTCTGAATGCATCTGCTCCATTGTCTGAGCAACTGTACAGAGTTAATTGCACTGAGTTAGATTTTCGCTGAGTTTTATTTCATAATTCACTCAAGGGTATGCTATATTTCGTCCATTTCTGTGGTGGACCTTTAAGATGTCTTAAAATAATTCTGTTAACAATGGCAGAGAAAAGCACCCCGAATAGAGTTTTGGGGATATTGGTGTTGGGATCAAATTTTAGTTGGTGACTAACTTTTAATTCCCTTCCTTTTATCTTCAGGTATGGCTTTCCCAACGAAAGGCTAAGAATTCAAGAACGGTCTTAACTGATCCTTCATCAGATCTGAATTTTAACAAATGCTTAGTTTCAGCAGCCTTGAAAAAAGCTTGGCCTAGCAGTCAGTGACTTACTTGCACTTTTTTGCACATAGATTTAAAATGAAATAGTGCTATTAATTTGGATTAGCTCCTATTATTCCAGAGTAGCTGTAATTTATGAGTGTACAGTAGTATACTGACTGCTAAGTGTTCTGTGTAGTGTTTGCTTTACTAATCACCTAATTCATTGCAGTTCATACTTATTGACTTAAAGTTTAAAATCACAATCTGTAGGCTTGAAGAATCGCTTTAAAACTTTTTTTGTGGTAGAACTGGAAGTGATCTTAAGGTTAGCCAATAATTGTCAGTATTAAAAGATGGCATTATTTAAAATAGTCCTGCTGCAAGAAAGGCACTTCAGTGAATATGTGACTAGTAAAGCTTAAATGTGCTTGGGTCTAATAGATTTCATGAAATACTGTAATTTTGGGATTGTAAATGAACGGATTAAACAGGTTAAGGCCAGGATGTTTAAAATAAATGCAATATTAATCTGCACAGAGAAACTTGTTTTTAAGATTAAGATTTGAAACTACTGTGCCTTAACTTGTTGCTTTTCTTAAAGTGAACTTTTGTAGTTAATGATCATTTAAATCCATTTTGATAAACCTGCTGTTAATGTTTTCTTTGAATGTCTTCTAACTTTGTCTTGGTAATTGCAATTTAACTAGGTGCGGTGGCTACTAAAGTTCGAAGGCACGATATGCGTGTCCATCCTTACCAAAGGATTGTGACCGCAGACCGAGGTTAGTTTAGTTCTGCAGTTCTTGTTTGTGAGAAGCGCGCTGAGTGCACGTGCGATTTGCAACACCACGGCTGGTTAACCAAATGCCCTCTGCCCACCCGTCTGTGACTCTTCTCCGAAATCGGAACAGTTAATATTCTAAAGCGTTGGGAATGCTTGCGGGTTTTAAGGCGTTTTGTAAACTTGGCTTTCCCAGCTCAATTAAATATATAAACTTTGCGATATATTTAATACAAACGCTATAACTGATTCCCTTTTAAAACTATTTAAAAGTCCCTCTGCATCAGGAAACACTATGAATTCAGTGCTGCAATAACGAATTTGGGTGCGTTCCCCCCCATCCCCGGTTTGTTGGTTTTAATTGGTGTGGAACTATCAGACTGGTGTTGCAAACCAAAATGAATGGGTGGTTGCTTAATGAGAAAGCAGTAAAGGAATAAATGCCTCCTGTCGGTGTCGGGAGAAATCTGAAGATTTAGATTCCTTGTTTCCAATACGCTCTTGAGCCACTGTACTGTACCTTGTGAGGAGGATGCATGTTCTCAGATACCTGACTGAATTCAGAAAGGTAAGGGCTGTGAAGATAACGCTTCAAAAGTTGTTGCAGTTGAATTACTGAGGGTGGGGGAACGGAGGGTGTTTTGGGTTTTTTGCCAAAATCTGTTTCTTGGTGTTTGCCTTTTGCTGCTAAAATGTGTAACCTGAAGGAGAAGCAACTTTTGAAGTCCTGTTGGGGAGATGACATCCAGTATTTGGGCATCTCTCTTTAACCCTTGAATGGAAAGTAAATCTTCATTTTTCTCCTGCTGCTCGAGCGTAATGCCTTTGGACCCCTGAATGAAGTATTTAAGGTGACTGAGAAAAGTGAGGTTTTCGGTTTATTGACATTGGCTGGGGAGCAGCCTGCGGGTTGAGTTCCCCCCGGTCCCTGCTGCTGACTCGCCGTAGGTTTCGGCGAGTCGTTGAATCTCTCTGTGTATGTTTCCCGTCTGCAAAATGATACTTCCCTACCTCACAGGGGTGTTGTGGGGGCTCTTGTTTCGTACGGGGCTTTGAGGATGCAAAGCCTGCCGTGCCAGATATCATTGTTCTGCTCTCATCAAAAGCAGTGTTGTGCAGGCTGCCATGATACTGTAAGATTCAAAAGCCAAATCCGGGTGACAGATCTGCCATCTCCTGACACTGACCACACCTCACTCCTCACATCCCTCCATACGTTAGCTGCGGCCGGCACCACCGGTGACGGTCAGACAGTGCAGAGGGCCCTCCTGGACGGTTGCTAGGTTCGCG